TCATTACCTCTACCTTCTGAAATCATTTCGAGCCTTTGAACGTTTTCCACCCTCTCAATTTACAACTATTCGGGGTGATACAAGCCAGCAAAACACAGTTACTAGCCGTCTTAAACCCGGCTTTTGGTTTCATATTCAGTCCTTCAACATCCGAACCCTATACGAAATCAGACAACAGATATCTAGGGCCGAAATTTCTGGAATCTCAGGCTATGGATGTATTCACTGTTTCTTAGACAAGTAAACAGGACCTGAGTGTGTCTATTCACTTGACCTTATCTGGCCTATGGACTGAATCTTCAAAATTCAACCTACTGGTCTCTAGATATCCAATAGTTAGATCTTGCTGTTGTTGGTATAGCATTAAGTTATGGAACAGTAAAAGCACTTCTCAACTGAATGCTGGTCAACAGCTATTTGTGTGCCATTTATCTGAATAGATCTGTAAGAACTAGGAAGGTCGATGAAATTAACCGACGTCAATTTGCAGTCTTCACCCACCCATCCAACGACTGCTTTTTGGATGACACAAAGCATGACTTCTGTCTACAGCTGTCAGTTTTCCGGTTGGTATTCATCAGGGACTGATATCAGTTGGAGAAACATTGGAAATCTGGGAGCGCTGGGCAGCTATTTTGAATTTGAAGCGATGTGAAGCGGTGACAGTTTTCCACCAAACGATTTAGGGATTGAGGAGAGTAAAAGAAATGCTAGGTAGTGTATGAGAATCAGAAGTATTGCCGTCAAACTGGTCTACTTCACTAGTCATTCTGGTCTATAAGAATGGAAAGAATATTTCTTGTGACAACTACAAAAGAATCAATTCGATGAATATCGTGTCTAAAATCCTGCGTTTCATAGTTATCTGGTGTCCACCTAAAACCCAAGAACGGCAAACCCAAGAAAACTAGGCACGTTAGAGACTTGGATAGGAGTGCATCGATGCAATTTTCTCCTCTGACAGGCTATGGAACACAGGCATACTTACCGGTGACTATATTGCTATATTTCTTGATCTGAAGGCGGAATCTGTCTCTGTTGATTGGTGGGTGTTTCGGTAGTCTCTGACTGTGAAAGGAGTAACAAGCAAGAATAAACCGCTAATCAAAGCTTTCTATTCGAGCTCACGTGGCCGTATAAAGGCTTATGGAGATATATCATCTGAAATGACGGTAATTACTGTTGTCCACCAAGGATGCCCTCTGCAGCAGCTGGTGATTAGTTTTGTTTTAGATTTACGAATGGACATACCGTAGGTACATCTGACTTCATAGTGATTGGTCTACTACATGGAGACAATATGAATTATTTGGAGTACGCAGACAACATTGTCTTGTTAAATGAAGACGATGACAAAGTGCAGGGTCTTTCGAACGCGTTGGGTAGAAATTTCAGCATGTTTGGCTGCTGTGCATTTAGCACTTGTCAAATATAAGATGCTTCTTCAAGAATAATCTGAAGCCACTCCTATTTGAAGGATAGGGAACGAAGTGGTGGGATGTGTTGACCAACCTACTAACTTAGGGAGTTGCATCAACCAGAGCGCGTTGGTTTCTGATGAAATCTGAGGTCGTATCTATAAGATCCTTGTGGAATTTACCAAGTAATATCGTTTTTAATACCGAAGAGTTCTAACTACCTGTCAACGGACGAGTATGCTGCACTGAAGTTTGTTATTTCTTATTATACAGCTGTCGTTCATGGCCGTTGAAGGTAAATATAAGACATCACAGGTTTTGAACACACGTGTCTTTGTTGTATTTCTTACATATGGTGAAACCACCATATAAGCAATGTCAAGGTTAGGCACAGCTTACTAGACAAGACAGTCAGGCGGGCAGATAAGATTATTCACCTTCAGGGACTGAGGTGACTTGCACGTGTGTTGCGCATGCCGAGTGACACTCATCCTAGGCGTACAATGTTGGCCAAAGTTAGATTTGATTAGAAGAAGACACACACTAGCTATGCCAAGATGTGGTATTAGTCTATGAAGGCTCTGATGGTTGGTCTTACCCGTGTAACGAGGTGTCGATTTCCTGGCTGGGGTCCTCGAGATCGTAGATATCAACGTTTAGAGACTCTTTCCGATAAGGCTGTAAATTGATCTCAGTGGCACGGATGTTTTCAATCTCTGAAGCTTATAAAGTTTGAACAATTCAATTGACCTTAATTTTCAAGTTCCTTCTCCTCTCATGCATCTTCCTATGCACTTCTTCTTTGCATACTAGTGTTAAGTGGGGTAAACTGAATCGAGGCATTTTTTTGCGAGGCAGTAATTTGATTTTGTCTGTCTGTCCGACCCCAATGGTAAGTCAAACACCAGAAGTACATAAAAAATCTGTGCAATTGTCCAGATCTAAAGAATTGTAACCATGGGGTCTTCTTTACTAGATTTTCCGTTATCTATAAATGTCCTTTACCAAACAATTCTGGTGGTATGAACACAAATAACATTTCTTTGGTTTTCACTAGAAAAATCATTTCTACTCCCAGCCTTAAAAGTGTATGATGACCGAGTTTCAGAAGATGACTAGATCACAACGAGATTCAAATCAGCAGCTTTTGAATAATTAGCCTAGTAGTTTAACGATTTAACGGTGGATGTGGAATTATTCCTACTTGGTTACTTTACATCTAGCGGTCAAAGTTACGTAATTGCTGGTTCAAACAAATAAGATATACCAAGGCCGCGAAAAGAAACAACACTTCAGAAGAAGTCTACATTCATGAGTAATTCTCAGCTTTACTTAGAGACATTGTCATTAGACATTCAACAAACCGAAAGTATTTAGAAGGTCATGACTGCGATGATTTTGAGACACATAGGCGACAATCAAAATCAATGAAATTAAGGAATATTTTATAGTTAAAATAAATAAAAGAGACTTCATAAATATAACTTTACGTCTATGAGTTATCTTAATTTTCTTAAAACACCCAGCAGTAATTGTAGTTCTTAAGGCTTAAACAGATGAACCAGTTAAATCAGAGGTCATCTGTTGATTCATTAAACTGGAACGAAACAGCTGTTCAGTACTCACAGATTTTTGATGGTTTTCGGACTGATATCGGTTTGTGATAAACACTCCTTTGAAATCAACCAATTCTACACAGATCTCAAAACACGTTTCTTTGACGTGTTTTGGTGCGTAATGAATTGTGTCCTCAATCGGTAGAGAAAGTCGTCATTATATTTCTATCTTGCTTGGGGAAACAGTCAGTTTTCTTATCGATATCATGTTACATGAACCTATCTTCAGTAAGGTGATTTATTTACGCAACTCTATTAGTATTATTATTATTATCTCAATTTCTTAGCGCAGTTAGTATTTTTGTGAAATTTTTCATAGCGATGTCGTACAAGTTTCTTTTATTTTGTTTTGAATCAGGTTATATTAATATTAAGTTCTCTACATTTGTCTATTTACTCCAAGGGCATTTTCACTGCATCTTGTCAAAGAAAAACATGCAGCAACTCAGTGCTTATTTCCAAATAGTGTCATCGGGACGAAAAGTTGGAACAATACTGCTTCCTCTTTTGCTTTTTTTTCTTCGTTGTATCACATATTTTATCATTCTAGTTTCACCACTAAAAATGTTTACTTACTTGTTGTATATTTTTCGTCAGTGTATGAGTCCATGAGTTTGTTGTTTGCATGTTTCAAGTGCTTATGTGTATATTGTGTGTCTGTGTGATCTCGATGACTTATTTGTTGGTGATCACGAGTATACCTTTGAAAATGGCTTGTGTACATACGCAAGAGATACAAGGCGTGGCTATCGTTAAATGAAACTAGTTAGTTATACTCTAGTTTTTTGGCTTGTTTGTTTGTTCCTGTTGTTGATGTTATTGTTGAAGTTCAGTGCTCACTAGAATTGGTAAAATTTCCAAAACATTTTTTCCCAGTGTTTATTTCTTCTTTTTACCATCAAGAAAAACAACAGAACAATATTTCTATTGGATGCAGTGTGTATGTCTGTCTATCTATTGGAGAAGAGGCCTCACACTGTACACATATGTATACTTCAGTTTGAGTATATTGTATCTGAGTATAACTGCCAAGTTTTGAAAAGGAGAAATTTCCACTCCAAGCAAATAATAATGTATGTGTATGTATATGAATTAGCATAAAAATATGTGAGGAATCAGAGTAGTATACTCAAATTTAACAGACAGACATGTTTGAGTCTTTCTGTTCCGTGTCTCACGTGTGTATGTAGGCTGAAAACTATCCTACCCACCCACTTACTGCGTTTGTCTTCTTCTGTCCTTTAAATTGATTGGTTGTCAAGTCTACAGCAAAAATCGATTAGCTATAAACTGTTTATGAATGCCCACTATTATTACTATAATAATGAAACTAATTTTCATCACATTAATTACAATGATCTCTATGCATATCAACAAAATCAGTGGGTAATCCCACGAAAGACAAACAAGGTGAAAAATTCATGGAATAAGATATCTACACGTGCATTGACTATCTGTGAATGATAGTGTCATACAACTGAAGTAAAAAGTGACTACTCGTTTCATATCTCATGATAACAGACTTTTAGATATACCGTGTATTCTCCTACAAGATCTTGGAGACTAAATTAATCAATGACAAAAGTAATCTTTTAAACTACCTCTTTAAATGAACAAAAACTTGACTTCTGAATGAAAGGAATTATTCTGTTTGACTAAGATTTCTGCTTAAAAATAAATTGTCATTGCATAACAAATAGAAATCTTCAAAGCATACTTTGCACATTCTTATGACCTTGGAGACGACCAAAATTTCCTACTCATTGATAACTATGATAACAATGATATGAATAACCGAGTAAACGAATAAACAATCTTTGAAGATCAACTGAAATTTAATGGCTAAATGTTGGTCAGGTTTGCAAAGTATAACCTCTTCTTGTAATAACAATGGTCAATGGATTAAACATGGGCAAAGAACAGTAAAATTAATAATCAGTAAAGAGAACTTGATTCATTTAGTAGAATGCATAGACTGGTATATACTCAGTGTCGTTGTTGTTGTTGCTGTATCGTGTCTCTATCTGCCTCCATCTGCTCAGCTTACTGTTATTGCTTCTTTTATTTTTGTCAATACCACCGATATTTGATTATTCTCACTGAATTTACAATTGTGATCAATTTAAATTCGAAAAATTATCATCAAAATTATTCTTATAATCGTACCAATCATTTAACTTTAAAACTCACTAAACAACCGTTGAACAGGGATTATTTCACAACATCTATCTACAATTTTTCAAAATTCATTATTGATAACAGGTATCATTTTTTCAGTTCACTAGTTTTTCAGTACATTAATCTCAAAATAACTGATCAGACTTTGGTGAATATAAGTAATAATCATATTGCTAACATTACAGATCCCTTTAATATCCTCTATACTGCTACTAAAACAGACTATAATAAAGGTAAGTTTATCTCAAGTAACAAGCTCCATTTGGAGCATCCGATGGCTGAAGAATCTGTAGACAGTGGAATTTCCAGTGAACTGTATACCGGAAATACTGATCAAAACCTGTGTCAACTGACAATCGGTTTACAACCAATACAATACAAAAACGATAAACAAGAATTACAGTCAGTTAAATCTGTAAACAATTTTGTCTCCCCTCACATTGGCATTTTCAGTCATATACAGAATGTGTTACACCGAAAAATCATGTAGTCTCTTTTGGAAATTATCCTTGTGGTAATTCTAAAACAGACTACGGTTATCCTTTTCGTTTTCACCAAAGTGAAAATAATAATAATAGTAAGCACATTGACAAGCGTCAGCTTTTAGAAAAGTTCAAAAAGTCCCATTTCAGTTCATTCGATTCCGCTATTGAAACAAGTTCTGAATCAACACTATCACTTGTATCAAGTTTATCTGGATCATATCGAAATTCGAATTATCCACGTGTTAAGTTCAATTATTCTAATTTCATTGATCATACTAATTGCATTGAAGAATTGAACAGAAATATGACAGATAATCCTAATAAACAAATTTATCAAGATTTCTATCCATGTGATAAACAGTCGAATAGATATAATTTGAATGAAGGCAAAAATGTAAGTCCTAGAGTACATTTTGTTCAGGAAGATGGAACGAATAAGACAAATCTACCTGGACCAAGTAGGTCAGTTTTCGGGATATAGTGCAGACTTACCCGGTGGAGTGTACGACCAGAGCAAAATGTTATCCCAGTTGCGTTCTGCACGTGACTATGTGTACATGCCAACAAATCGGGCAACACTCCAACAAACGCCTGGAACATGTGATGTTCGTTGTAGTCAACTTTTGTCCAACTGGCAACGTCAACAACAACCTAATCAGCATCAAGGTTATCTACAAGATGCATTTCCTGAGGGCTTAGTCTCCAATATGGATCAACTATCTGAAAGTAAATGCAGAAATTTACCCCCAAATCTTGTAAATCCCTTTTTTCAGCAGCAACAACAAACAGGTCAAAATCGTTTACCGACCGATCAACTATTTGATTTCGGAAAAGTAACGAACCAACAACAGCAGCAAGCACAACAACAAGCAAATTACCAGCAGCTTATTTCAGCCCTACTAGCAGCAGCCTCTGTTAATAAGACTCGAATGGAATCACAGTCAGCCCATGTGACCAACGTTCCGTCTATGACAATGGACTCTTCGTATAGTCAACAAAAATCCAGCACATCAAACCGTTGGTCCGACTCTGAACTAACAGTCAATAATGCGAAAGATTTACAATTCCAGGTGCAGCAACAACAGATCAGACAGCAGCAACAACAACAAGCGACTGCTGCAGCAGCTGCGGCGGCCGCTGCTGCCGCTGCTATGGCTGCTATGCAATGTTCAGCTAAATCTTCAACCAATATCCCCACAAATATCCAAAGGCAAATTCCCTTGCTGCTTAGTGGTGGTGGTAATAGCGCTAGTCAAAAACATCCCTCTCACTTACGTTCATCTTATTCATCTGGAGACGAATCTTCGGCCTTACGAATGATGAATCCAGCATCACTGGTCACACCGACAATGCAATCACTTCGTAGATTTTGTACACCTGATGCAAGTATGAATGAGCCGAAACTATCTCAGTCTTTGCCAATGCCTCAGCAATCTATGAATACAGTATCTGAAGCTATTTCCCTTTCTGAACAAAATAGTAAAGTACAACGAGCAACACAACAGCTTATTACAGAGCTAAATAAATTTCAAGATTTATCTGTTTCTGGTGAGGACTATGCAAATTACCAGTGCTTAGAAGCTTTACTAGGACAAACCTCCAGACAGCCGTTAGCACCAGCCCCATCAGTACAAATGGAACATATTCTTTGTACAGGTGAGTCCATAACAATTAAAAGAATATTCAGAATTGTGTAATGACCGGATGATAAGAAAAAACATTCCAAAATTTCTTTCTTAGATTTGTTACCAGACTCATAATGCACACTAGTAAAGACGGTTGAACTAGAACGAAATATCTATTCAGTGTTAACCTAAGTTTTGTTTACACTCAACTGAGATTGGTTCCAAAGTCTATTCTAATAAATCAAGTGAAATGTTCATCCAGTGAAATAAGTATGAGAATGCCTTGAATATGTATTGATATTGGCTTCAGGGTACTGTACATCTTGGTTACGTTCATCTGCTGTGTTGATGTTTAGGCTGAACTGTCAAGGACGACCACAGTTAATGATATTTTCTTGTCATATGTGATAAGTAACAGAAAAGAATGAATGCCAAAAATTCAATTAAGCTTTAACCAGTTGACTTGTGGATTTTTCATCTGACTTTTACTTCTTCATATCTTAGGTTTCAGCAATCTTATTTAAGAAACGATTCAGAGGAATTGAGTTAGTGTCAGAAAAAATCATGTGACTTTTCCTCAAATGAGTAACCATTTTCTACACAGCTAGTAACAATATCTGATAACTAGCCAGCAGAAGATCATGCTAGTAGTCGTAAGATGAAGGTTTTCGAAGTTTATTCGGTTACTATGGCATCGAAAAATCGAGAGCTTGTTTGTCTTATCAGGGACTGAAAGACAGAAATTAATTTTAGTAGCACTTCACAAAGTGATGTTGTGTGGTAATTAGCAGTAGTTAGAGTTTTCCTGCCTTTTGACGTTCACAGTAAAAACATTTTAAAGAAAGAAACTTTACTTACTTTGGAGATTGAAACTCTTTTTACTCAAAGGTGAAGTTAGGCTTTAAAATCAGGCTATTCAGGTTGACTGACAGTCTTTAAACTCTGCTTGAAAGTGAAACGAAAACGTCACTACAAAATTCTAGGAAGATCAACTGTGATTATATGGCATAAGTTTCTGAATGTATTTCGATTCATATTCTTTCATTTTTGATGAATTTTCGAAATGTACTTAGTTAAATTTGGCCAAGTAATTGTAATAGGATTGAAAAAATACCTTACACTTTTTGTGATCTCAAAACTTTTTTATAAGGAGAGCTTATTATGTGTAATGACGACCGAAAAAGCTGTATGCAGTTGTTGATGGCTGGAAAACGAATGGAAAAATTTGAAAAGTGAAATCTAGGACTAGCGTTTTGTCATATTTGGGATTGGTCAAATGAGCATACTCAGATCTAATCCAGACATTTTTCATTAAATGACAATGTTGCTCATCGTATAAGTATCCTTAACATGGCTTAAAATCTCCGATTATCGAACAGTTGATACCGATCTGTGAAATGTGCCGAATAAAATGCATATTCTGGCAGACGTGAAAGTAGAAATATATTTTCGTCAGCCTCATGTGATTAACTCTCTGTAGTGAGGTAAACATTATCATTGTCACCTCGTTTCTATGCAGAACAGACGATAAGAACGTATCAATCCATGAAATACATAGATTTCTAACATTACACCTACAAAAATACGAAAAGAGGTGAAGTCACTCTTCGTCGTGGTAAGTTTCACCACTAAATCGGGTGACTTTGGAGGCCACCCTAGGAACTACTGTAATAACCAATCAGCTTTCGGTATCCTGCCCAAAAAGGCTGTTTCTCTTAAAATATTGAAGTCTAATTGGCTATCTCAGAAATTGCTAGGATGGCCTTTAAAGTTGCTCACGAGATGACAGCAAGTGGAGGACACTTGATAAACTGAAAACACTTATAACTTGTTCCTTCTATGTTTATCTTTGTAGAGGATGTGATGCGCATATTTATATCGGTTTCTTAGTTCAGTGACTCACATTTTCCACCTTTCCCACCACGTTGTTGATTATGTTTCAAACTTGTTAATTTTCACCACACGAACCTCTGATATCAGTACCTGCTTCCATGTTTTCCATGTTTTAGGACAGTTATCATGAAATCTTACAAAACACATTACACTCAGTTGTCTTCTTAGTTTATCTGACATCTAAACTACTTATCTGTCGCACAAGGAGTTGAGAGTACTCTGAGTCATCTCTCAAGACGGGTAGGAAAAGAAACATACTGGTGCTAATTTATTCACTGTATAATTCGCATAATATTTGTAGGTTATAAGTGGAAATTCGCAGCTGGTATCTCAAATTTCATCACATTGTAGTCTACTTGGTAGCTAACAGGGAAATTCAGGTCTCATGTTTCCTCCTATTTAGGACTCGTCAGCTGGATATACCTGCCACCAGTGAGAGATGTTGTTCCCCTGAAACTCTAACCTAGTACCCATCACTTTTAACTCCAAAGCGTTTTACAGTAGACTACTGAGGCACACGCATACTGGATTCTACTGCTAGCCACCAAAAGACTCCAACATAATGAATATCTGCGGAAGATCGAAGTATCCATATAGGAGCCCATCTGCCAACAGAGGCTGGGCAATTCAACCCAGTATTGGAACAGGAAGATGAAAGTATCAACAAACAAATTTCGTCACATTTACCTGTGTTTTTGTAATCCCATTAGTATGCAACCTAAGTGAGCTGCTAGTTTATTCGTGGTGAGAAAAGTTGGGCATATCCCGTAAGCCCTTTATAGCTAGATAAAAGTGAGTCTAAAGGTCACCGTAGCTTTCTATATTTGGGTTGGAAAAGTAGCTTTTTCAATATTAAATAAAAGTAATTGGTTATCTCAGCAGTTACCAGATTGGTTTTTAGAGTCAATATACAACAAAGCTCTTCTTTTCACCTGGTGATAAGAGTCTTATTTTCAACATCATAGAGCTTAGACTACATGACGATGAAAACACCTTATTCGCAACCTTTCGTATTTATTTTTGTAAAAAATAGCCACATTAATCAAAAGGTGGTATCTGTCAAGGTTACCACCACGCTATTGCTTCTTCCTAATCGGTGAAAGTGATTTTGATACTGAACATAATCTACATTTGTTACTCAGGTATCTGTTTTACGTTGAATACATATTTATCGCAATGTTTTTACGTTTTTCTTTGTATCACCTCTCTTCGAACGTATTTGCTTAGATTGTCACAGACACGAATGACTAATTAAAAGTCGGTTGTTTATTCTGTGTTGAATAAAAAAACATTTAAAAAATCGCATAAAATGCAATACGGCTTATTTTTGCTGACATAAAGAATGAAATAACCTGTTTCCATAAAAACGAAAGACGTAAAAAGCTATCAATTTCCTATAATAAAAATATGCTACAATCCAGATTTATCAGAGGGACAAATGTTAAAATTATTGGGATATATGTGTATAAGGAGTAGCTTATTAGTAAGTTTTTTAACTGTAGTATTGAGTGATACTGGACACAATCCTTCAGTAAGCATTTACTACTTTAAAGTTGCACTTTAGCGTTGCTGATACGAATTAATGTATGGGAATCGAAGTTATATAACTTCTTGCTTCTTAGATTTGACTATCGAGTAGTAGAATTCGGAATCACACTGAATGGAATTAACTCTTCATTCTCCATCTATAACTTGACCGATAATCGAAACTAAAGATGTCCTGAAATATTTGAGACAAATTGGTTTGGTAAATAGATATTCATGCGAATAAATATTAAATGAACTGAAGGGTAACGGAGTAATATATTTATCAAACGGTACTGGGAAAAAATTGCACATGAATGGGAGTCTACTTGTTGTATTTAAACTGTCTGTAAAGTTTTAAGTAGTATATTTACGTTTTTGGTGTTTCTGCAATTAGCTCATTTCGTTAAGTACGTATGAATTCACAGACACAGTCGCATGCAAACGGATAATTGTAAAACGGAGTAGTAGGTAAAAGAAAATAAAAACCAATTCTTTCTGTTGATTGAATTGACAGTTAAGTTACTTTTTTCCCATTAAACTGATTGATTAACTTGGCTTTGGCTTAGATGCTGCATGAATTTGTGGTTGCACACTTCTGAGTAGTCTCAGACTACGACTTAATGTCCCTTAAACGCTTCCTTAGTTCCCTAGGTTCTTTAGCTAACATCCTTCTTTATTTTAATAGTTTCATCTTTGTTGTATGTATGCATCAAGTATACGATTTTGTTATTCAGGACATATTTCCAGTTTGGGAATGGGTTCAGTTTATGAGGTTCAGACCTAGTGTGAGGATAGCGGCCTTGGATATGTTAGACGCTCTTCACCCCTCTGCCGTATGTTGGTGGTTGGAACAATCTTCAGTGAAATTAAGCCTGATGACTTTGAGGCTAGGATGTTACAATAATTCACAACATCATTTACTGAAGAAGCTGTGGAATGCACAGCGAACTGTTCAGAAAAATCTTGTTGATTTTTCAAACTCTATGGGATTGTATTAGGACCTAGTTATATAATCTTTTGCTGTTGATATCAATCATGTACGTAATTAAGATTTTTAATGTTTGATAATTTTATTTACGGCAATAGAAAATCTATCAAAAAGGTGAAAATTTATTTATGACTAATTTTTCTTTAAATTCTTAACTTCTTTTTACTCTCTCTCTGTTCTCGCCGTTCGGTTGGCATATTCATTTACCTGTCTGCTTTAGTTTCCAGTCACTCCTCTTTATTGATATAAAGCACTTTTCTGCGATGCAAGCTCTTATGAGTTTTAACCGTCCCTACTGGTTGTCGTGTAATGCTCTCTGAGTCGATCAGACTACATCAAAATTAGAAAGGCATTTAGTGATCATATATTATACTCCATCGCTTCAAAAACCAAACTACAACGATGACTTTTATATGCAACATTTTTATGTTTGCATTATGCCATCAGAACTGATGTTCAGTCTCAAAAACCTCTTGTGTTCTTTTAAATTTGAACCATTTCATCCAGTGCTTCAGTCCGAAATGCTTAGAGGGAACGAATCAAAATACAATCAGTGTATCAACAAAAATTATTTGATTTCAACCAATTCATCACCACAACACTCTAGTAAGTACTATTGTGAT